GCCGCTTCGCCTGAAAGCGTGGGCGTTCCCTGAAAAACATGCTGCTTTATGGACGTGGCCAGGGGCAGTCCGGGTTGATTGAGGTGAGGCGTTTTGGGGATTCAAGTGTGAGGGTTCAGGGTTCCGGTTCGGGCTTCCGGCTTTATTACGTTCTACACAAGTTTGCCTGGCTTCGAGAGGCGTCGGGTGTCAGTTGTGATAAGTTGATGTCAAGTTTTCGATATTGACAATTCTGACGAGAATGACAAAGAAGAAGTGAAGACGATGAGTACGATCACCACGATGATTTCATTCCATTTTCGAATGACTCGAAAATCAGGGGCCCGTGCCCTGCATCTAACGGTTCCCCGAATGATTTTGAAAAGGTCGGATGCCCCGTATAGGCAATAGTTGGTTTCTGGTGGTCCAAGATGCCCCGCTTCATGGAGATGTTCGAGTGATTGCTAAAGCCAAGCCCGATGTCCCGCCCAGCCTTTAACTTCGGTTCGACGATGATGCTCTTGCTCCGAGTTTGTTTTGTGCAACATTTGCAAGCCTGTTATGCAAGGCGTGAACTTCCAGTGGAATTTAATTTCATGACGCCACAAGCCTCGTACCACGCAAGCAGCCATGTCAAGCGGCTGCATGTTGGGGGTTGCGAGCGTGGAATGCAGATGTCAATCGCCAGGCCTGAAAGCTGCGGCCCCTGCGAAGCTCTCTGGCCGAGAAAACGTGCGGCTGCATCGACTTAGTTTGTATCGTCTGGCCGTTCGTGTTGAGCTGTCAAGGCAATCATCTCCAGCAGCATATTGCCAACGCTGCCATGGAAGCTCATTGCATCATGTCAATGAAGGCAGTCCTCCGTATACTACAGTGATGATGGTTGATTCCGCGGATGGGAGACCTCGCGCCGGTGATGTTGACTTAGCATTCGGTACTGTAGAAACTTGCGCTTGTGTTCCCGGCATGCAACTCCCGTTTCATAAAATATTCGCATCCTTGAGCTGCTCGCCGGGAACGATTCCCATAGCCATAGCAGACATGATTAAGACATCGCATCAGCGCTTTGACAGCAGAAGTGGTGCAAAGTTCCGCCACGAAGATGGATCTCCGATCTGGCTCCACGGCAGGCGCAGCCGAGATGGAGGCCAGAGGTCTTGGGGTGAAGACTATCGAACCGCAAGCCTTCCAACTTGACAGTTGCCCGTAGGCCCCATAGTTCCTTTTTGGGATTACCTTACAGGGTTCTAGATTCCTTCTATGACCCCCAAAAAGGAACTACTTGAAGGGCATATAGGTAGAGTAGTTTGCCACAGCTTGCCCACCATGGCTGCAAAGTATCGGCCGCATGAGTGGCCGCATGAATTCCAAAAGCTTGCGGTCGTGTCGCTGAGTCGGGTTTTACGCCAGAGAAATAGTGGAACGGGGGCCCAGACTGTTGTCTCTACAGTGGGTGCCCGAGATTCACCTTGAAATCCTTATCATATAAGGGCCCAAAGAATTACCGATACTATGTTGGGGGTTCTTCTTTATAGTTATAGTATGTTATAGTATAGTATACATGCACCAAAACCCTATTCTAATTATTAAGGCCCCTCCAGTATATGCCCCCCAAAACTTTGGGAAGCCTCGAACTCTAAGCCCCAAACTGCGATTCAAGCCCTGGGAGCCCGATGCAGGACTCAGAGAGATCGGAGTTCTGGGAGAGGGGCTACCTGAGCTTCCCAGCCCTCCTGGCGAAGGAGGTGGCTCGGTTGCGACTCTTTTGAAAATGTCCGCATTGGGTTTGGGGGTTTGACAAGGGTTCTAGAGTTTGAGAGTGCGGGCTTCCACGTCACTGTCACTGCTGCCCATGAACCATGTTCCGGAAACATGGTGTTCTGAGTGTGACCCTTTTCGGTCTACAAGCTCTCCTGGACCCCAAGCCCGAAAGAAACAAGCCAAGGCCCAGCGCGAATGATTAACCCGCCTGTCCTCCAAAGCCTGAGCCCTACGAGCCAGAGAAACCTTAAACCGCAAGTTCACAGACCCCTCCCAACCCCGACCGGTCTGAGCCTGACGACTCACCCTTGCAGGCGCCGGCGATCAGAGCTCGCATGGATCTGATGATGAGCCTTAATCAGATCATCAGGAGATCAGGGGATTGACGGGCTTTTTTCATCTGAAACCAGTAGTGTGGCCACCTTTAAGGGGGCATTATTCTCGCAGAGTCGAGGGTCGTTGCAAGTGTATAGGGGTGTCGCGGTCTCCTGACTTTGCCTCGCACCACAGTTCCCGACCGTATGTAGGCATATACTTATAGGCCTTAAGGGCCTTATAACGGTACCTATGTAGGAACCCCTGTAAGGCCTATAAGCATATGCTCCATGGAACCTCAGGGTTCTGATACTGGTCGTTAGAGTAGTCAAGTAGCCCATCCGCATTATCCGGCAAAATCCCAAACCTGGATTTCCCTGTGGCGCGCGCAGCAAAGGAAAGATGCACCGGTGACTACGGCGGACTGGAATGCCGTTGATGCTGGCGGTGCCGCTTTCGTCCTTGCGGTGAACGAGCACGGCAAAACGGTCCCTGGACGCCTCCTCAAGGACCTACTGGGCCGTGACATGTGACACATTTTGGCGCTGCAGTGATGTTGAGCCTGGGTAGTTGGTCGCGTAGTAGGTTCGAGGGCTGTTTTTTGTAAAACTACTGGAACGCTTCTCAAAGAAGAGGGCCTCTTATAGACACTAGAAGCCCTGCAGTTCGAGCCGTTTCAGTGTTCTTTTATAACGGAACAACGTACCGCCCATAGTGTCGCACTTTGTAGTAACCCTTGCAACGTCATGGAACCCTCGTGGTACCCGTATCGTAACCCTTATACCTTTGCTCTAACCCTTATAACGTAACCTCACCTCACTAGTATCGTTTTAGCAACGTACCGCAACGCCCATAAGCTTATAGTACCCTCAAGGCAGCCCTTTCCTTTCGGCAGGTTCAGTCTGCAGCCCTTGCCTCAAGTGCAGTGCTGGAGGTGCGGTGGGCGTTCGGCCTGGCAGAGCCCGAAAGGGTAGGGTGTTCCTAGACCCCCCAACTACCCTCTAATATACCCACTATTAAGGGCCATAAGGGCTCGATTAGAGGGCCCTTGGGGGGTCCTGGTTTGGGGTTTGGCAGGAGGAACTTAGGATGTTAGAACCTGTGGGTTTGAAGGTTTCGGTGATTTCAGGTTTGAGCGGGTTCGCGCTTTCGGGTGTAGAGCTTATAGGGCCTGGCAGGGATTTTCGGGTCGCTGCTATCCAATGAAGTGGGGATCCTCAGTTCCCACATCCTAGCCCATAGGCCCCATAGTAGTTCCTTTTTGGGATTACCTGATAGGATTCTATGTATGAACCCCAAAAAGGAACTACTTTAGGGCCTATGGGTACTCCATGGACTCTTGTTTGGGGCCTTCATGGTTGCGACCTTACGCCACGTGAGCCTGAGAAGCCCAGGCCAAGCAGACACCCTACAGACCGTAGATCATATAGTAGAAAGTAGGGTTTCGATGGTAGGAATTATATTTATTATGCTACTATTATGGTTTGGGTAAGTATCTCCTAAAATCATCATGGGACCAGGGCTTTCTGCAGTTGGCGTTCAGGTCTTCCGGTCCCCGCAAGTTGTCGCGAAGGTGCAGGAGTTCCCTGACGGAGTCCGCGCCACTCCAGTGGCCGCAAAAGAGCTATGCGTGCATAGGCATAGTAATTACATCCCGTTATGTACTTCTGCAGCATATGTGTCTATACATACACAATCACAAATAAGCAAACATAGACAGCGACCTGCGTGTATGTTTCCCTTTATCTGGTTAGCTTCCGACATCAGGACCAGATTGGGCAGAAGTGTAGTGGAGGCAAAACCGATTTTGCCCATCGGACGGGTAACAAACGAAGGTAGCCTGGGTCTGGGCGTTTTTTGACTTCGGGTTTTGGTTGCGGGGGGTGGGTGGGGGGCACTTGGTCGATGATTTTTTTTCCCCCCGCTCGAGGCTTTACAGCTTCCTCGGTCCGGAGGTTCCTGAGCATGTGGACGTCTTTGGCACCAAATTCTTCCCAATGTGGCCCGGCGGAGTGTCTGTCGACTGGCACCAAGACTGCCATTACTTCGGCACTGCCTCGGAAAGGATAATTTCCTGTGGCGTCTACCTTGAAGACACGGACGAGGATCGCAACGTTGAGTTACAAAGCTCCTGCGCAAGCCTTTAGCAGCAACCCCAAAGTCGGAGCTCTCAGGTTTGGCACAGCACAGCTATACGGTGTCAGCTGCTTACTGCATTTCGCCGCTGAAGACCGGCGAAAGACCTCACCCCCCTGCGCCGTCTGAGCAACAATGCAGAGAGTCGTATTGACAAGCAGGCACAGCAATAGTTTAGTATATCTAATAATTACAGTAGATTGTACAGAGTATCGTTTTGTCAACTCGAAGACTGATACGGCGCACGGGCAGGAGAATGGCTGCCTCCAAGTCGTCCCAGGGTCTCACGCCTTCGACTTCGAGCACAAGCCCGGAAGCGGATTGCACGCGCAAGGCGAGTGGGTGACACCAGGCGGGGTCCTGATCTACACTTTTAAGAACCCAAAACCCACTTTTTCGTAGGTTCTTATTATAAACCCTGATATGGGATTTATAGGGACCCTACAAAAAAGTAGGCTTTGGGTTCTTAAGGCACAAACTCTCAGTTGGCAAAGCCTATCAAAGCCTAAACCCGAACCCGAAGGCTTCAGACCGGACTCTGTCATGGTTGCAAGTCACAGATTACCCTGAGCTCTTGGGAGCCTTCCCTGCAGATGCGTCCGCTGTCGTCGTGGATGTGATGGTTCCTGCGGGATCGGTGGTGCTCTTCAACTCGCGCCTGCTGCACGCAGCGAGGCACAACAGCCACGCCGCCCGCACGCGCTACTCTTTGCACCTTGGCCTGCCGACAGAAAACAACGAGTCGGTAAGGGCAACACTGGCAGGGATACAGAGCAACCTGCAGCAACAAGCAATCAACGACTTTGCCTGCCAAGTTCAATGAAACTGCTGAGCTTTCACAACTGCTGCTATTTTGCGACATCCCGTCTTCCCTAACTACACATGCTGAACTGGATCACTTGTCTTGCCACCTCTCGACAACAAGCAGGGCTGACTTGCCGCAGCAGAACTAGCCATGCTAAAGGTGGAAGGGCTGTGCATGCTACGGCAGTGCAGCATCCGGAGAGGGCCTGCACATGATAGTACGATTAAGTCAAATTATTATCACATATGAGTGTTGTCATTGTAATAATATGAGAAGCATTAATATTACTATGAATGGTATTGTTATTGTTGCTTTGAGTGAATCAGCTTAAGACTCATTGAGTGGAACCCTAGCACCGGTCAGAAGTTCAATCTGGCAGAAATCAAAGAAAACATGAGACTAGGTCTAGCATGCGCATCTTGGCATCACGATTCCAAGGTTTGGGCATTTCGTCCCCTCTGACTTGGATTTCAGCTGGCGGGGAACCGACTTCTCACATGGGATGTATCTTGACAGACATCGGATCTACTGACATTGGATTGAAAAAGTTCCGAGAAGCTGCATCTCCTTCCAGCGACTCCTATCTTCGCAGGTGGAGACCCTGCATCTTACTGGTGGTTTTCTCTTCATTACGATGTGTATGTACATGTGACTCTCAATACGTAGATCTGTATCACGATTGCTATGACTCATGCAGGCATAATTGTGCTAGTTGAAATGATTGCCACGATTAGTGGTTTGCATGCTATTGGTGCAGCTCGCAATTGCCGGTTGCGCTGTCCTCATTGTGGCATGGAAGATGCACCAGGAGCAAGTTCGAACTTTGGCCGCTTCCCGAGGGCGGCAAGCCCGAGCAGCTGTTTGCTGTGGAATGGGCGAATATACCCTGTGTTTACCCATGCACATGCAGCACCGTGCCTTCCGCAAGCGCACTGCCAACTTACAACCTAATCAACGTCGACCTTTGACAACAGACGATAGTCACTATAGTCAAGCGTCTTGAAACTTGACTGAAGGGAAGTAAACACCACCCCTCTTGTTCCGCTTGCACTGCCTGTCGTCGGCAGAGGCTGGGCAGAAGGGCGACAGAGTCGCACCATGCGTCAGCGGTATTAGTTTGAGACCAATCGGCTGTTGCATTAGGAGAGCGCTGGTTTGGTCTGACTGCAAGCACGCAGAAGCTGGACATGTTGTCGAAATGGTTTGCGGATACTGCTAGGACTGCTAGGAGTGTCAGCCTGCATGCTGCAGTTAGTGACGACAAGGAGTGATGCCTTCCTAACCCTAAACCCAGAACCCTGAAACCTCAACCCCCAACCCCAAAAGCCCCGAAAAAAGTTAAACCGACGAGCTCTCCAGGCGCCTGTGCTCATGGCCGCTGTGCACGAGAGGACCCTGAGACCGGGAGGCCAGGCTCAGAGTTTCATTTTTCTCGGATTGCATGGATGCGCTTACCATCCAATATGTTATTATGATATTACATTGGTTATATCGTATGTAGATGTATGTATGGATGTGTGTATATATATATATACATACGTATCAATATACATCCATATATGTATATATATATATGTATATATATATATATATGTATGCATTTTAGGTTTATGTACTTATCGTCTATATTTGTATATGTATAGATATGTGTAGATATACAAGAAACGCTGATGTGTATGCACATAGCTTGTTCCGGCTTGTGTATGATAAACATATAATAAGTAAAGTCCTCTTCTCTCTGTGTATATATATATATGTGTATATGTACATACATAGATGTGTTAAAGTGTGTGTGTGTGTATGAATACATATATATATATATATATATATATACACATACATAGGTATACTATAATGAATATACATATGTATATACGTATGTATAAAAGTATATATGTATATATACATACACACACGCTCACACACACACACACACACACACACGCACACACACACACACACACACACACACCCCACACACCACA